AAACTAGGGGAAGTGTAATTTGTTAAAACATTACGAGATGGAAACATGTTGATAAAATGCAAATCTGAAGATCAAAAGAATAAATGCATGCAGATTGACAACATTTGCAAAAAAGTTGTTAGTGAGAAACTAATTGTTGGAGAAAATAGAGTGTCACGTGGTGTTATCACTGGTATTCCGCTGGAGGAGGATTTAGAAAGACTCAAAAAGAATATACAGGGGGGAGAAGTTCGGAGATTGAAAAGATTGCAAAAGCATGTAAATGGAGAAAAAATAGAGAGCTTATCGATTCTTTTGGAGTTTCAAGGAGAAGTCCTTCCTGATAAAATTAAAATTGGATTTATGAGTTTTCCTGTAAGACCATATGTTCCTCCCCCTTTGCGATGTTTTAAATGCCAAAGGTATGGTCATATCGCAGCAGTATGTAAGGGGAAACAAAGATGTGCCAAATGTGGAGGAGATCATCGATATGATGAATGTGGAGTGGATGTACAAATGAAATGCTTTAACTGTGGGGGTCAACATAATGTGGCATATGGAGGTTGTGAGGCAAGGAAAAGGGCAGCAGAAATTAAACAGCTGAGAACAATTAAAAACATCACTTATGCAGAGGCAGCAAAAAGTGTTCAAGAGAAAAGAATGGTTCAGAAAAGTCAACAAGTAATGTCTAGCACAAGTGCTGACCCCAGCCAAACTTCAAAATCTGGAATGGAGATCACAATGGATAAATTAATATTATTCATGGCATATGTAATCAACTGTACTGATCAAGTAAAACAGAAAACAGAAAAAATAAAAATTATAGTGAAAGGTGCAGAAAATGTTTTGGCCGTGAAGGATTTATCTTGGGAACTAATAAATAAAAGGCTTGAAATGGATGGAAAGCAAGGTGGAGGAAAAACTCAATGATTATCTTACAATGGAATGCAAGAAGTCTAATAGCAAATGGTCAAGAATTGAAAGGATATATAAACTGTTTGGAAATTAAACCAGATATTATTTGTGTTCAGGAAACATGGCTTAGACCAGATCTAGATTTTGTGATTTCGGGATATGATAGCATTAGAAGGGATAGGGAGAAAGAAAGTGGAGGAGGTTGTATAATATTTGTTAAGCAAGGGATTCAATATAGGTTTGTAGATAAAGGATCATCTTTAGAATGGGTATCTGTGGAAATTTGGAATAACAAAGAACATATTAGGATAATAAACTTTTATAATCCCTGTAAAAAATTTAGTTTAGATGAAATAGAGGAAATGTTTAAAAATCTAGGAAAAAATCTAATCTGTTGTGGAGATTTTAATGCTTTTAGCACTGTATGGGGTCATAAAAATGATGAAAACGGAGAAGTGGTAGAACAAATAATGGATAAGAAACAATTGGTCTGTATTAATAATGGAGAAGGGACAAGAATTGATATTAGAAATGGAAATGAATCAGCTCTAGATCTAACTCTAGTATCAGCGAATTTTGCTGGGATTAGTAATTGGAAAGTTTTAAAAGAATCAACATTAGGAAGTGATCATTATCCTATTGTTATTGAAATCGGTTTAGAAATAGAGAAAGTTGTTAATAAAAATATAGAAAAATTAAATTTTAAAAATGTTGATTGGGAAAAATATAAAATAATAAGTGATGGAAAAATGCTAAAGGTTAATTTAAATTTGGATATAGATAGCATAAATTCTTCTATCTGCGAAGCTATTTTAGGAGCGGCCCAAGGAACGATTCAAAAGAAAAAAGGAAAATATAAGAGAAAAATAGTTCCATGGTGGACAAAGGAATGTGATTTGGCAATTAAATCTAGAAATAAAGCTTTTACACTGTTAAAGAGAAAACAAAATTTTGAGAATTTGTTGGCATATAAAAAGTCACAAGCTTTGGTTAAAAGAACAGTAAAAAGTGCTAAAAGGGTTTATTGGGGAAATTTATGTAATTCAATAGGAAGGGAAACAAATATTTCAAAAATCTGTGGAATGATTAAACGAATGAATGGAATTAGAAGGGAATATGGTTATCCAGTTCTTAAGAATGGAGATGAAATGGCTCTAAATGATGAGGACAAGGCAAATATGCTGGGTAGGAAATTTGTTGAAATACATAGTAGCAAAAACTTAAATATAGAAGAAATAAGGAAAATAGCTTCTATTATTAAGGAAAATAGTAATTTATTAGAAGTAGATACAGAATATAATGATCTATTGAATAATTCCTTTTCATTATTTGAATTGAACAACTCTTTAAGGAAAACAAAAAATTCTTCTCCAGGAAAAGACAATATCTCTTATATTATGATTAAAAAACTTAGTAATTAATCTAAAAAGATATTATTAGATTTCTTTAATAAGATATGGGAAGAGGGTTATTTACCTGTGGCATGGAAGGAAGCAATTATAGTTCAAATTTTAAAACCAGGGAAAGAGAAGTCAAATCCTACAAGCTATAGGCCTATTGCTTTGACATCACATACTGTATATGCAAAATAATGGAAAGAATGATAAATGAAAGGCTGAGTTATTTTGTGGAGAAAAAGGGGTTTTTGTCAAAATTTCAGAATGGATTCAGAAAAGGTAGAAGTACTATGGACCCTGTTTTGTGTTTAGAACATGAAATCAGAAAAGGACAAGTTAATAAGGAGAGTGTGGTTGCTGTCTTCTTCGACATAGAGAAAGCCTATGATATGATGTGGAAAGAAGGTTTTTTAATTAAATTAAGAAAAATGGGGGTTAGAGGATCAATGTTTAATTGGATAAAAGATTTCTTACATAATAGATCTATACAAGTAAGAATAGGTCAACAATTGTCAGAAAAATATTTTGTTGAAAACGGAACACCTCAAGGAAGTATTGTGAGTCCTTTGTTTTTCTCTATTATGATTAATGATATGTTTGATAAGTTAGAGAGTGGGATGGGTTGTTCATTATTTGCTGATGATGGAGCAATCTGGAAGAGAGGTAAGAACTTGAAATTTATAGTTAAAAAATTACAAGAAGCAATTTATAGTATAGAAGAGTGGTCATATAATTGGGGTTTTAAAATTTCAATAGATAAGACAAAGACTTTATTTTTCACTAGGAAGAAAGTATCTAGTGATTTAAAATTGTATTTGTATAAACATGATTTAGAAAGAGTAAAGGAGTTTAAGTTTCTGGGTTTGTGGATGGATGAAAAACTGACCTGGAGTAGTCATATTCAAAAAGTAGTAGACAAGTGTAAAAGAGTTTTAAATGTTATGAGGTGTTTGGTGGGGAGAGAGTGGGGCGCTGAGAGGAAAGCGTTAAAATCAATATATACGGGTTTAATAAGATCTGTATTAGATTATGGCAGTCTGGCATTTGGATCAGCATCAGAAACACTTCTTAAAAAATTTGATATTATTCAGTTTCAAGCCTTGAGGTTGTGTACAGGAGCCATCAGAACAACTCCGATCTCAGCTCTGTTAGTTGAAATGGGGGAAATACCACTTTTCCTTAGAAGATTATAGTTAAGATTATCTTACTGGAGTTATTTAAAGGGTCATTATAAAAACCATCCATGTCAAGAAATTTTAAAACCTAGTTGGGAAAAAGGGAAAAAGACTTTAAAATCCTTTGGTTGGGAGATAGAAAATTATGTTAAAAATTTTCAGTTATCATCCATAAAAATGAGTGATACAGTTCCTCTGCCACTGGTTCATCCATCTCTATTTAATGAAATCATTGTGGACTTATCATTGTTGAAGAAGAGGGAAAAAGGAAATTTTTCAGAATCTTGCTCAGTCCAATCATATATAGAAAATAAATATTTTGGTTATGTTCAAGTGTATACAGATGCATCTAAAAGCCTAAGTAACAACAATGGGGTGTCATTTATCGTCCCAGAATTTAATATTAAAAAATGTAAGAGGATTTCTGATGACGTATCAGTGTTTACAGGGGAAATGATGGGAATTATTTTGGCTTTGAGTTGGATTGAAGATGTTCGTCCTCTAAGAAGTTTAATTTGCTCTGATTCAAGCTCATCATTATATTCAATTAAAAATAATCATTCCAATAGTAGACCAGACCTTCTATTGGAGATTCAGTTAATACTTTATAGAATTCAGACCATGGGATTAATTATAATTTTTACATGGGTTCCATCTCATATAGGAGTAATAGGAAATGAATTGGCAGACAGATATGCAAAACAAGCTTAAAAAAACAGTTGCATTGAGATACTGATTCCATTTAGTAAAGAGGAGATAAAATCTATTATAAAACAAAAGGTTAAGGAAAGATGGCAGAAGCAGTGGGAGGAGGAAAGAACTGGTAGATGGCTTTATAGCATTCAAAGGAAAGTTGGGGTAATGAGGGGAACAGGAAGAAGTAGAAAAGAAGATAATATCATATCCAGTTTACGTTTTGGTCATACAGGCTTAAACAGTACATTATTTACAATGGGAAGACATCCATCAGGAAATTGTGAATTTTGTTTTCAAGAAGAGACAGTAGAATATGTTTTGTTGTTTTGTCCAAAGTACTCTGAGGAGAGAAGGAAATTAGAATATCGACTTCTAAAGAATAAGTTACAATTAAAAATATCAGATATGTTGGGATATTGCTTCTCTTCTGAATATTTACGTCATTTATTAAGATTTATTAAGAAAACTAAACTGATAGAAAGGATTTAGTTTTTTTTTTTTTTTTTTTTTTTTTTTTTTTTTTTTTTTTAGGTTGCGTCCTGATCCACACTCCTTACCAGTAGGTGGCGGTAATGCACACCAATAAGTTGCTTGTCAACCGCCATTAAACAAGAAGAAAGAAAGAAAAGAAAGAAAGAAAGAAAGAAAGAAAGAAAGAAAGAAAGAAAGAAAGAAAGAAAGAAAGAAAGAAAGAAAGAAAGAAAGAAAGAAAGAAAGAAAGAAAGAAAGAAAGAAAGAAAGAAAGAAAGAAAGAAAGAAAGAAAGAAAGAAAGAAAGAAAGAAAGAAAGAAAGAAAGAAAGAAAGAAAGAAAGAAGGGTGAACAGAGAAAGCCTAATTTCCTACAGCTTTGAAAGCAGCATTTTATGGTACTGCCCTACCGGGAAGTTAAGAACTGACCCGAAGCTTCAGTGCGTACTGGTAAAAAATGATCGCTGATACATTTCATATTTAAAGTGACATAAAAATATATCAAAAATAGATTTTTCTTAAAGATAACATCGTTAGAAACGCTTTATCGTGAATCTCAGATTGTAAAGTATAGTTTTATTGTATCTGATCAAAGTACAATAGGAAGATGGAATCAGAAAGTAACCAAAGTGACTAAAATGTTTTATCAAACTTTATCATTTATGGTGACACAAGCTTATTTTAGTTTCGTGATAGCGATACCGTTTAAGATTAAGTTAAAACAATATTTTTTCTTTTTTTCTTCTCCTTTTGTCTGGGAACTGTAAGAGCTGTCTAATCCTTTCCTAAAGGAAAGTCTCACTTTACTATCTGACTTCTTTCGATTAGGGGGGACTCCTCTTTTCTTGAACAACAATAACTGTTTTTTTACTTTTATTCTTATTAATTAATTAATTAATTATTTTTATTTTTTTTTACAGAGAATGGAAGTAGGGGAATTACTGGAGGATTGCCTCAGAGCAGCAAACGCTCCTAAATCTGAGCGTGAGGAGGTCCCTGAATCTGTCAGGCTGAAGTACCGTTGTTGCAGAGGTTAGACACACGATGGCGCTATTTGGTTTGTTTTCATATTTGGTTTGTTTGATCCTCTGTTTTCAGTGTTAAAGGTTAAATGCACAGTGTTTCATCACGACATAGGCCTACTGCAATGACGTGATTTGATTGACAGAATCCGAACCAAAATGGAAAACAAATTAATGCTGTGTTGTAACCAAGCCAAACCTTATTTCTTTATTGAAGTTTTCTCTCTTTATTTATTTATTTTTTTTTTTCAAACAGTTAGTATTGTTGACAAATTATGATCTGGATGGACTAGGTCATAAAAGTCCTCTGAAACCATTCTTCTTTCTGGGATTCAGTTATTGGAATATATTTATTGTCTGGTGACCTGTCATTGATTGACGTTGATAGGCTGTAATCGTCCCACATCCTGTAAGAATAAGTTACAGGAGGATATGGAAAAAAATAGCTGGATGTTGTAGGCAGAGGTCCGTCACAGTAAAATAACCTTGAAGAATAGAATAGAATGGACTAGAATAGAATAGAATAGGATAAAATAGAATTGAATAGAATAGCCTCATTGTCAGTAGAGACAATTGGGGCGACAGTTGAAACAAACAGAAACAAGACTTGCACACAAAACTAGAAATATGGAAAACAAAAACATTTAAAAGATAAATTCTACATTAAAAGCGAAAAAGCAACTAAAAGATTGTATTCAGGTAAAAATATGGAATAAATAAAAATATATGGAATAAATGAAAAATAAATAAAATTAAGGTGTTTTAATATTCCCACCAGATTTTTAGACAAAAAATACGCAATATTAACTGGCAACTTTTATCTAGAGCGGCAAAACAACATAACTGCAATTGCTGATGAGTAATAGAGAAACATTGAATAAATGCTAAGTAAATTTTTTGTAGCACTTAGCAAGATAGCAGGGTCCTGGAGGGTGCATGGGAGTTCGCCCAACCAGTCTACATGTGCTTTGTGGACTTGGAGAAGGCGTTCGACCGTGTCCCTCGGGGGGCCCTGTGGGGGGTTCTCCGGGAGTACGGGGTGCCGGGCCCTTTGATACGGGCTGTCAGGTCCCTGTATGACCGGTGTCAGAGTCTGGTCCGCATTGCCGGCAGTAAGTCGGGCTCGTTTCCAGTGAGAGTTGGACTCCGCCAGGGCTGCCCTTTGTCACCGATTCTGTTCATTACCTTCATGGACAGAATTTCTAGGCGCAGCCAAGGTGTTGAGGGGATCCGTTTTGGTGGCCTTAGGATTGCGTCTCTGCTTTTTGCAGATGATGTGGTCCTATTGGCTTCATCAAGTCGTGATCTGCAGCTCTCGCTGGATCGGTTCGCAGCCGAGTGTGAAGCGGCCGGGATGGGGATCAGTGCCTCCAAATCCGAGGCCATGGTCTTGAGCCGGAAAAGGGTAGAGTGCCTTCTCCGGGTCAGGGGGGGTGTCCTGCCCCAAGTGGAGGAGTTTAAGTATCTTGGGATCTTGTTCACGAATGAGGGAAGAAGGGAGCGGGAGATCGACAGGCGGATTGGTGCAGCGTCTGCCGTGAAGCGGGCACTGTACCGGTCCGTCGTGGTGAAGAGAGAGCTGAGTCAAAAAGCGAAGCTCTCGATTTACCGGTCGATCTACGTTCCTACCCTCATCTATGGTCATGAACTCTGGGTCATGACCGAAAGAACGAGATCGCGGATACAAGCGGCCGAAATGGGTTTCCTCCGTAGGGTGGCTGGGCTCTCCCTTAGAGATAGGGTGAGAAGCTCGGTCATCCGGGAGGGACTCGGAGTAGAGCCGCTGCTCCTCCACGTCGAGAGGAGCCAGTTGAGGTGGCTTGGGCATCTGTTTAGGATGCCTCCTGGACGCCTCCCTGGTGAGGTGTTCCGGGCACGTCCCACCGGGGGGAGGCCCCGGGGAAGACCCAGGACACGCTGGAGAGACTATGTTTCTCGGCTGGCCTGGGAACGCCTTGGGGTTCCTCCTGAAGAGCTGGAAGAAGTGGCTGGGGAGAGGGAAGTCTGGGCCTCCCTTCTTAAGCTGCTGCCCCCGCGACCCGACCCCGGATAAGCGGAGGAAGATGGATGGATGGATAATATTCCCACCAGATTTTTAGACAAAAAATACGCAATATTAACTGGCAACTTTTATCTAGAGCGGCAAAACAACATAACTGCAATTGCTGATGAGTAATAGAGAAACATTGAATAAATGCTAAGTAAATTTTTTGTAGCACTTAGCAAGATAGCCAGCTTAGTTTAGCAGTCCTAGATAATAGGAAAAAAATGTGGTACACTGTTGTACTCTTTCTCTGAGATGTATCTCAGTAGAGTATATTAAGCTTTAGAAAGGTCCATCTCTCCTTCTGATATCCTTACTGTTGCTCATCTGAAGTGTTTTTTTTTTGTTTTTCTCCAGCGTTTTTATTTTGATTACACTACATTTTGTCACAACTACAGCGCTCTGTGTAACATTTTCCTCTATATGACCTAAAACATTATGAGTTTTTATGCAATCCCAAAACAGTGTAAATGACAAAAAAAAAACCTTGGTGGCTACATCTAATTCAATTCAATTCAGTTTATTTTTATAGCGCCAATTCACAACAAATTGATTCAAAGTTTTCTATCTAAGGAAAACCAGTTGATTGCAGCGATTTATTGACACGAAGGCAATCCCTCACACTATTTTTATATTTAACAATCCCAGCCTATGACAGACTTCTGTTACAGACATGGTATATTTCTATTATACTGCACTTTTCCACTTTCAACAACAAAAGACTTTTAAAAGCAACAATTTGCTTTTTTAAAGTTTTCAAGGTGGCTCTTCCAAATGTTATAAATTACTCTTGGTAAATGGACAGGACAATATCTACTTTTCAGACAAAAGCAGGATAAAATGATCAAAGTTGTGAAAAATGTATGAGTGATTTATAAAGTAGTATTCAATTCAATTCAGTTTATTTATATAGCGCCAATTCACAACACATGTCATCTCAAGGCACTTTACAGTTTACAAGATCATACAGATAAATTGATTCAAAGTTTTCTATCTAAGGAAAACCAGTTGATTGCATTGACTCATTGACTCTTCAGCAATCCCTCACACTAAGCATGCTTGTAGCAACAGTGGAGAGGAAAAACTCCCTTTTAACAGGAAGAAACCTCCAGCAGAACCAGGCGAGACGAGCTCTGAGCCAGCTCCCATGTCAGAGGATGAAGAGAGCGCTTCCAGCCAGTCACAGTCAGAGAAACAGGACTAAACTGAAAAACAGGCAGATACATCTATAAAAAAAAAAGGTGTTGAAGGCAGCAGCACAGCTGATATTTCCCTCCAGGATTGTGTCACAGCTAAACAGGAACAGACGAGGTGAAGCTACTGTTAGAAAAAGCAGAGAGAGCAGAACATTAGAGATTGAACAGATTCTGCAGACTGGGAGAACAGAGATAGAATGAAGCAGAATTATGAAAAAGGGGCCCCTATGTCTTCCAGAAGTCTAAGCCTATAGCAGCATAACTATAGAGATAGTTCAGGGTAATCGGAGCTATCTCTAACTATACAGGTGCTGGTCATAAAATTAGAATATCATGAAAAAGTAGATTGATTTCAGTAATTCCATTTAAAAAGTGAAACTTGTATATTATATTCATACATTACATACAAACTCATATATTTCAGATGTTTATTTTGTTTAATTTTGATGATTACAAATGACAACAAATGAAAATCTCAAATTCATCATATCAGAAAATTAGAATATTACTGAAGACCAATAAAAACAAAGGATTTATAGAAATGTTGGCCAACTGAAAAGTATGAACATGAAAAGTATGAGCATGTACAACACTCAGTATTTAGTTGGGCCTCCTTTGGCCTGTATTACTGCAGCAATGCGGCGTGGCATGGAGTCGATCAGTCTGTGGCACTGCTCAGGTGTTATGATAGCCCAGGTTGCTCTAATAGTGGCTTTTAGCTCTTCTGAATTGTTGGGTCTGGTGTATTGCATCTTCTTCTTCACAATACCCCATAGATTTTCTATGGGGTTAAGGTCAGGAGAGTTTGCTGGCCAATTAAGAACAGGGATACCATGGTCCTTCAACCAGGTACTGGTAGCTTTGGCACTGTGTGCAGGTGCCAAGTCCTGTTGGAAAATGAAATCTGCATCTCCAAAAAGTTGGTCAGCTGCAGGAAGCATGAAGTGCTCTAAAACTTCCTGGTATGTGGCTGCGTTGACCCTGGACCTCAGAAAACACAATGGACCAACACCAGCAGATGACATTGCACCCCAAACCATCACTGACTGTGGAAACTTTACACTGGACTTCAAGCAACGTGGATGAAGTGCCTCTCTTCTTTTCCTCCAGACTCTGGGACCTTGATTTCCAAAGGAAATGCAAAATTTACTTTCATCAGAGAACATGACTTTGGACCAATCACCAGCAGTCCAGTCCAGTCCAGTCCTGCTTCTGACGCTGTCTGTGGTTCAAGAGTGGCTTGACACAAGGAATGCGACAGCAGAAACCCATGTCTTTCATACGTCTGTGTGTGGTGGTTCTTGAAGCACTCACTCCAGCTGCAGTCCACTCTTTGTGAATCTCCCCCACATTTTTGAATGGGTTTTGTTTCACAATCCTCTCCAGGGTGCGGTTATCTCTCTTGCTTGTACACTTTTTTCGACCACATCTTTTCCTTCCCTTCGCCTCTCTATTAATGTGCTTGGACACTGAGCTCTGTGAACAGCCAGCCTCTTTAGCGATGACCTTTTGTGTCTTGCCCTCCTTGTGCAAGGTGTCGATGGTCGTCTTTTGGACAACTGTCAAGTCAGCAGTCTTCCCCATGATTGTGTAGCCTATAGAACTAGACTGAAAGACCATTTAAAGGCTTTTGCAGGTGGTTTGAGTTAATTAGCTGATTAGAGTGTGGCACCAGGGGCCATCACTTTTGAACCTTTTCACAATATTCTAATTTTCTGATATGATGAATTTGAGATTTTCATTTGTTGTCATTTGTAATCATCAAAATTAAACAAAATAAACATCTGAAATATATGAGTTTGTATGTAATGTATGAATATAATATACAAGTTTCACTTTTTAAATGGAATTACTGAAATCAATCTACTTTTTCATGATATTCTAATTTTATGACCAGCACCTGTAAGCTTTATCAAAAAGGAAATCTTGTCTCAATGTGGATTTTGCCTCAGATCTGAGCTAAACTAAATCCCAGGTTGCTCCCTTTGTGCTACTCATTGTAGCAGGACACTGCTCGCTAGGGAAGGATGAAACACAGAACATCTTTCCCACTGTGGGAGTGTAAAGGGATCTATCCTGACATAAAATAAAGATTTGTACCAAAATGGTTAAAAATAAGTCTTGCAACTTTAACTCTCCCATAAATCTAGGGGTTCTGCCTGAACCTCCCTGTCAAGTGAAGGGAATTCATACAACAGAAATGCTTTTTCGTAAAGCTTATAGTGCAAAATCATGTGTAACTTTTGATGCTCTTTTCTAAAGTATAATATTTCCTCCTGTGTCCTATAGAATCACTGTGTGCAGAACTAGACTCTCTGCTGCAGGAGGCTGTGGAGATGAAGTGGCCCTTTGTGCCAGAGAAGTGGCAGTATAAGCAGTCCATCAGTTCCAAAGACAAGACCAACCTCAATGACCTCATAAATAAACATGTGCACCAACTCTTGGTAATTATAAGACATCAATTCTAGAGGGATTTGTCCCATTACAAAATGTATTCTGATTTAGATTTCTTTTCAGCTTCAGTGTTTCTGATCAGTACCGTATTTTCACGACCATAAGGCGCACCGTACTAAAAGGCGCAGTCTCAGTTATGTGTCCCATTTCTGTATTTAACACACACATAAGGCGCACCGGACTATAGGGCGTGTTTTTTATATACAGGTACATGTCCTCTACTACCTTTAAATACCTCTACTGCGTATTTAAAAATACAGCGGGGGCAAAACTGAGTATGAATGTGCTTTATTCATGTATTTATTACAAAGTATTAATCAAACCTGGGAGCTGGCCGTGAGACAGACACATCGCAGATGACACAGCGCTGTGATCACTCCTAAATTAACTTAAAATCCTGAAACCTGCCGACGGAATATGTTCGCTTTTATTACCGGTATCCTGGTGCCTGCAGTTTAAATTATTTAGATGAAAAACACCTGCCAGCCACCGCGGTGAACCCGGAGGCTGCCCAGCCTAGAGGCTGCTGTTGAACGGATTTCTACTGTCGGTGCACCGCTGGTATGTGGGGGTCTGAGCGCCTCCTACAGAAATAGATAATCTGGATGAACTGACTGCAATTATGAAGTTTTCAGGTGGACTTTCTCACTTAAAAACATATTAAAACTACTTTATTCCCACTGATCACAGCAAATATAGCTGCAAGATTTAGATTATTTAGATGAAAAAACACCTGCCAGCCACCGCGGTGAAGAGGAGGAGACCCGGCCCAGAGGCTGCTGTTGAATTAAGTTTTCAGGTAGAAAAATAGAGCGGGAGCAAAACTGAGTATGATTGTGCTTTATTAATGTATTTATTACAAAGTATTAATCAAACCCATCAAAGTCATCATCCTCTGTTTCTGAATTAAACAGCTGCGCTAAATCAGACATGCCAATTTCCCCTTCTTCGCTGTCAGAGTCACTTTCCGTGCCGTGCGGCTCCTCAGAAATAATGCCTGCTTTTGCGAAAGCTTGAACAACAGTGCCAGCAGACACGTTAGTCCAAGCATCTGCAATCCATCCGCAAACGGTGGCGTAACTTTCCACTTTCCGTAACTTTCCGCAGCCCGGCGCTGCCTTCCAGTTATCGTGAAACTGTGGTCTCAATCTGTCACCCATCGCTCCCACGCCGCTCGCAGCCTTACTTTGAACGGCCGCTTCACACCGATGTCGAGCGGTTGAAGTTCCTTTGTCAGACCCCCGGGATAACGGTGAGCACAGCGTCCATTTGATTCACCATGTTTTTCTCATCAGCTGTGAGATGGGCACGCATAGAGTCACAGATTAACTGCGATGGTGATGCGTGGAAAAAAACACCTGTTCTCCTCACATACACCTCCCTCAGCCACGCTTTCATCATCTCCTCATCCATCCAGCCCTTTTCATTTGCGTTAATATCATATGTCATCAGAGCGATGTGTCTGTCTCGCTGTCAGCTCCCAGATCAGCTTCTCTGATTGGTTGATGCGGCGCGTCCAGCAGCAAAACTTCAATTTTTCCATCTCGAGCAGGAGCAGCGCGTTGGCAGATGCTTAAACGCTCCTGCTGCTCAAAACGCGCTGCGGGACCTTTTGCTGCACCTATACGTGCGTCAACCATTGACTTTGCATGTAAACTCGCTGCTTCTGCTGCACCTGCTGCGTCCCGTTCACACCGATGTCAAGCGGTTGAACAGCGAGCACAGCGTTAATTTGTTTCCCCATGTTTTTCACATCAGCTGTGAGATGGGCACGCATGGAGTTAGCTACATATTAACAGCAATGGTGATGAGTGGAAAAAAAACACCTGGTCTCCTTACATTCAGCCACTCATCATCTCCTCAATGAGGTGGTCTCAAAAGTCGCAGTTACAACACACATAAGGCGCACCGCACCAAAGGGCGCACCGCACATTTTTAGGGAAAAAAAAGACGTTTAAGTGCGCCTTATAGTCGTGAAAATACGGTAAGATAATTTTAATTCGCAAGAAGGACAACCAAATATATATGTATATATATATATATATGTACGTATATATATCTATTTACATATGTACGTATATATATATATATATATATGTATATATACACTCACCGGCCACTTTATTAGGTACCCCATGCTAGTAACGGGTTGGACCCCCTTTTGCCTTCAGAACTGCGTCAATTCTTCGTGGCATAGATTCAACAAGCTGCTGGAAGCATTCCTCAGGGAGTTTGGTCCATATTGACATGATGGCATCACACAGTTGCCGGAGATTTGTCGGCTGCACATCCATGATGCGAATCTCCCGTTCCACCACATCCCAAAGATGCTCTATTGGATTGAGATCTGGTGACTGTGGAGGCCATTTGAGTACAGTTAACTCATTGTCATGTTCAAGAAACCAGTCTGAGATGATTCCAGCTTTATGACATGCCGCATTATCCTGCTGAAAGTAGCCATCAGAAGTTGGGTACATTGTGGTCATAAAGGGATGGACATGGTCAGCAACAATACTCAGGTAGGCTGTGGCGTTGCAACGATGCTCAATTGGTACCAAGGGGCCCAAAGAGTGCCAAGAAAATATTCCCCACACCATGACACCACCACCACCAGCCTGAACCATTGATACAAGGCAGGATGGATCCATGCTTTCATGTTGTAGACGCCAAATTCTGACCCTACCATCCGAATGTCGCAGCAGAAATCGAGACTCATCAGATCAGGCAACGTTTTTCCAATCTTCTATTGTCCAATTTCCATCAGCTTGTGCAAATTGTAGCCTCAGTTTCCGGTTCTTAGCTGAAAGGTGTGGCACCCGGTGTGGTCTTCTGCTTCTGTAGCCCATCTGCCTCAAAGTTCGACGTACTGTGCGTTCAGAGATGCTCTTCTGCCCACCTTGGTTGTAACGGGTGGTTATTTGAGTCGCTGTTGCCCTTCTATCAGCTCGAACCAGTCTGGCCATTCTCCTCTGACCTCTGGCATCAACAAGGCATTTCCTCCCACAGAACTGCCGCTCACTGGATGTTTTTTTCTTTTTCGGACCATTCTCTGTAAACCCTAGAGATGGTTGTGCGTGAAAATCCCAGTAGATCAGCAGTGTCTGAAATACTCAGACCAGCCCTTCTGGCACCAACAATCATGCCACGTTCAAAGTCACTCAAATCACCTTTCTTCCCCATACGGATGCTCGGTTTGAACTGCAGGAGATTGTCTTGACCATGTCTACATGCCTAAATGCACTGAGTTGTCGTTATGTGATTGGCTGCTTGGAAATTAAGTGTTAACGAGCAGTTGGACAGGTGTACCTAATAAAGTGACCGGTGAGTGTATATATATATATATATATATATATATATATATATATATATATATATATATATATATATATATATATATATATATATATATATATATATATATATATATTTATATAAATTGTTTGATTTATTCAGAGAAAAAAGCTTTCCTCAATCAACTATTGCCAAATCATATTTGATGTAACTTCCTTAGCTAAATTCATGTTATATTGCTATGAGTTCTGCAAAATCAAGAAATGACTGAATAAAATTATAGCTTCGTCTAAAAAAAAGTTGATATTAGTTTTAGATCTAAAAGAAAACCGAAGAACAGATAAGAACTCTGGAAAAGGTTATAGGCCTTCTTTAACTCATAACTATCATTGTTTTTAGAATTAGCGCGACAAAGAATACATTTAAATGTGAGAAAAAGCTAAAACAGGAGTAATCTGTGAGGCCTTTTGTTTTGTTTTTTGCACTCTTTTTTTAAAGTACGGTATATGTGTTTACTGTGCTGCTAGGATCTTTTGAGGACGTCCATCATGGCTCAGGAGGCACAGATGTCCCTTGCAATAGTCTTCTTAGTGGACCGCTTCCTCTACTGGAGTGATGAATCCGGCCGGCTCCTAAAGATCACCAAGCTGCTCCACAAGCAGCACCCTGACACCCCCATAGCCCCTCAGTTGGTCATACGGCAGGCCAGGGTCTTCCTTAACTCTGGTAATTAGATGAGGAAGAAATCAGTCCAAACTTAAACCCTGGTCATGATTTTTATGGCTTTAGAACTGTCCTAAACAATGTGCGGCAAGTAAGGCCCTGTTCACACTGCAAGCAAATGTGGCCTAAATCTGATATTTTTCTTAGGGTCCAATGATCAGATCAGGCTGTTAGAACTAGTTTGGATGCCCAGATCTGGCCCGTCTCTAAATTTTTCAAGTCATATTTAAGCCACATTCGTATGTGGTCCTGATTCTGACCCATATTTGACCTTTTGGAATGTGACTCCAGGGGGAGTGACTGATGTGATTTGATGTGACTTTGACATCATGAGGAATTTGTAATAATTTGTTGCCGGCCAGCAGGAAGCAACAGCAGTTTGCAAAACAGAGGAGGGTGCAAAAAATTGAAATCTAAATAAGTAATTTTTTCTTAAAAGAAGTGCCTTTTTTCTTGAATTGAGGAGGCAAGTGAGACGCTCTGCCAACAGCACTAGTTAATTTACATTTAAAATGACAAAAAACAATTACACTTCTTATTTTAAATGCATATGATCTAATTATCTTATTTTAAGAGTAAAAATACTCATTCCATTGGCCAATCGTCTTATTTACCCACTCAAATTTAGGGTAAATTTAAGAAATGTTTACCTTTTTCTAGATTGTTTTTGCGGTGTGTAGTTTTACAGTAGAAACACAACAAAAACTGATCTAAAAATAAGTTTCTGAAAATGTGTATCTGCCCTTAATTTAAACAGGAAGATATAATCTGCCAATTAAATAAGTATTTTTGCCCTCAAAGTACCATAATTAGACATTATGCCTTTGAAATAAGATGATGAGTGTGTTGTTTTTTTTTCATCATTTTACAGTTGGAAATTGTTCTTACCTGCTCATATTAAAGGAATAGTACACCCAAAACATGATTAGCCTTCATTTTCTACTCACCCCCATGCTGAACAACACCCTGGAGTACTTTTTTGATATCTCAAATGCATCTGGAGATCTGGGAGGCTTCTTGCTGTCTGCTGACATTCAAATAATGGAGGTCTATGGTGCCCGAGGCAGAAAGGTCCATAAAAGTCCACAAAAAACGTGTCAATATTCCTCCATACTGCTCGTCCAATGTATTCCGAGTGTCCTGAGTGGGTAGCGTCCATAATTTACTCGAAACGAAGTCATTTAGAATGTTTTTAGAGCATAAACAGTAGTGTATAGGATTTCCTAAAAGCGCGCGCCGGCGAGTTCATGACGCTACGGAAACCGCGGCAGACCAAGCCAGATGAAAGTGCGCATTCAGCGTCTGCTCGGCCGATAATGCAAGCGTAGAAGAAGAAATGTGCTGTTTACCTGTGCAAAGAAAGAAACAACGAAAGAAAAATGTCTGAGGACTTCAGTGTTGAGGAAGAGCATGAGTTCTTTGCCGAGCTGAATGCGCACTTTCGTCTGGTTTGGTCTGCCGCAGCTTCCGTAGCGTCGTGAACGCGCAGGCGCGCGCTTTTAGGAAAACCTATACACTGTTTATGCTCTAAAAACATTCTAAATGACTTCGTTTCGAGTAAACTCTGGATGCTACCCACTCAGGACACTTGGAATACATTGGACGAGCAGTATGGAGGAATATTGACACGTTTTTTGTGGACTTTTATGGACCTTTCTGTCTCGGGCACAATAGACCTCCATTATTTGAATGTCAGCAGACAGCAAGAAGCCTCCCAGATCTCCAGATGCATTTGAGATATCAAAAAAGTACTCCAGTGTTGTTCAGCATGGGGGTGAGTAGAAAATGAAGGCTAATCATGTTTTGGGTGTACTATTCCTTTAAAGGGACGTACAATTATTTCAAGTAAAATAAAAAACTGACTCATATTTCAGTTTCTTCAGTGATGCAAGGTGGTGAGACGTTAAGACCTTACAAGAGACCAGAGCCATCAGGATATGGGAAACTATTTCAATTGCAACTTTTGGTTATACGACCCTTCGAATAGAGGGCATAATGATCTGCGCTACGCTATTGCTGATTTTGTCTCCGCGTCCAGACAGTTCTTATGCTGAAATGGCCAATTAAGGAGTTTTACTCTTGTGTCAACACCAGCTGACACAATATATTGCTTTTATAAGGACTTAAAACCTAACACCTATTTCCCCATGTTTATTGTTGTGTTATATTTGGAGCTGCCAGCATTAAAGTAAGATACAACGACCACACAAACAAATTTTATTCTATAAAAAAGTCGACTGGAGCATTAAGACCTGCGGTGTGAACATAGCCTAAGACCCCCATCTTGTTTTTCTCATTTTAAAGAAAACATAAAATTCCCATATGAAAATCTACTGAACTTCTTTTCGGGTGATTTTTTTTATAATTCCATTGTTATTGTGATCTTCTCCCAGGAAAACTTCAAAAAGCCGAATCCATTTTGAGCAGTTTGATTTATAAAAATGGAACAACAGGTAATTGAACAGAGTTGCTATTGCAGGTTTTTAAAGGATTACAGCCAAACATGAGCCATGAACTTGTCTTTGACATTCAGGTTGTTGGGTCTACAACTCTGACAGCGACAGAGTGTTGGTGCAAGCTGTCAGTGTTCAAGTGCGAGGAATGGTTTTACAAAAGCTCGGTAAGGTTGAAATGAATGAATGGTAGCTAAAGTAGGGTTTTGTTTCCCTTTTTTACATTTTTTTTTTGTGTTTCAGGCTTGTGGCTGCAGGCTGCAGAGCTAATCTGGGCTTCTCTTGTTGGTTATTACTCACTCCCTCAGCCCGACAAAAAGGTAATCTCGAAGATGAGTCTGCCAGAGAGCATGGTTATCGCACTATAAAGCTGTACCTTTGACCAGGCTTAGTTGCACATTGCCATAAACCTTGTTCCATAGGGTATTGGAACCTCTCTTGGCTTACTGGCTAACGTACTGGTGTCCATGAATGATGAAGACTTCCATGCATTTAAGACTAATCCAGATATAAACTTTGTAAGTTTAAGCAACAAAAAAGATTATCATTTTTTTTTTTTTTTGCTGAATAATTTATGGTTGTCCTGTTGTTGCTGATTTCCAGGCATCTTTGCTTGGAAATGCAGGGAGTCATCGTCTTCTATCAGCCGCGCAGGCAGCTAAGATGGCTGTGGTGTACAGTCAGTACACCTCACTCTATGTGCTCACTAATGTGGTATGTTAGACAGTCTGAACACTGCAATGACCCATGGTGCCTCCCAGTACCTGTCATTATATTAAAGGGGAACGCCGTTTTTTTTTTACATTGGGCCCTTGATTTTACGTTATTCCATCATGTTCTACTCACCCATATGAGTTTTGTGTCATTTGGAGCCGTTCTGAAGATATTCTGTTAGGTTATATCCAAGTAACGTCTTCCTATGGGCAACGACTTGAAGGCACAAACTAAACTGTTTTAATTTATTCTTTATGGTACATCAGCATTCATAACATGTAGGCGAATCACTGTCCCCCAGACATCCGCAGTTAGATTTTTTATGTTTATATTTTTTTTAAACAAAGCGGTGCGTGTATGACGTCATCTGTGCGCGCGGGCTACTGTTCATTCATCCTGTCCGCTGAACTGCTGCTAGTTTTCCTCTCATGCCTAGAAGATGTCTAGTGCTACTACCACAGATGATCTCGCTCTCCAAATGGAATTGAATGATTCGGATTAGCTAGCCGAATCAATAGAAGGGGTAGAGCGTAGCCGCCTGTGGCCCGGGCTGCCTGTCACAACTCCAGTCCGGCGCACGGATGACGTCATACACACTCTGCTTTGTTTTTAGAAATTATAAATATAAAAACATAACCGCTGATCCCTGGGGGACAGTGATTTGCCTAGATGTTATGAATCCTGGCGTACCATAAATGATAAATTATGAACAGTTTAGCTCGTGCCTTCAAGTCGTTGCCCATAGGAAGACGTTACTTGGATATAACCTAACCGAATATCTTCGGAACAGCTCCAAATGACACAAAACTCATATGGGTGAGTAGAATATGATGTAATAACGTAAAATCAGGGGACCAATGTAAAAAAAATGGCGTTTCCTTTTAACATAAGAAATGCTCTTATAATTTTGTGAGTCAATTGATAGCCAGCCTAACCACACTTGAAAAAAGCCGCTTAAACAAAGCCAAAGCTGGTTTGTTGAAATGCTCAAAAATCGATACTTACCTTAAGCTTAATATCTCCTTTATAAAAATGTTACCATTTTATACCTACTATTTATATTAGTGCGGTGAAATTTTAAGACAATTTATCTTTTTTTATCTATTAAAACGTGGGTTTAACTGTTTTTTTCCAATTTTTTTTTATCATATTTTCTTTTTGCATTCTAATCTGGTTATGTATTATCTAAACTTAAAGTCAGAGGCTCTTTGTCTTTTCCTTCTCCTCTCCTGTTGTTGGATACTGATTTGATTAGCATTAATACAATAATCACAGAATTTATAAGTAACTAATTAAAAGATCTAAAGTATTAGCTTTGATTATTTTTTGTAGTTTTGTTTATTTAATTTTTGGAAAAAGTTAACTCAATCAATTCAGTTTATATATATACATAAAGCAATTTTTAACAACATGCCATCCAAAGGCACTTTAGAGAGAAAATATCATCAGATCATCTAGGCAGATTGGTAAAAAGTTTGTTATCTAAGGAAAACCAGCTGATTGCATCGAGTCATTGACTTTACTGACACACTCATCTTGAATAAGCATGTAGCACCAGGAGATATTTGCTTGCACTCTGTCGTTGACTCTACTGCAATCCTTCAGACAGAGCACGCACCCAGTGACAGTGGAGTAGAAAAACTCCCTGTTCACAGGAAGAAATCTCGATCAGAACTAGTGGAATACTTTCTATGTTAGCAAAAGCCACCATAGTTTAGCAGAGTCGCTCTGTCTATGAAATAAAGCAGGTATTTATGCCAAACAGATGAAAGAGATTACATAGAATTCTTTACAATAAGAGCTGATCCTGTAGCTATGTCAGGAGCAGAAACAGGACTAAGCACTGAAAAATAGGTCAGACACGATCACGATCTATTTTCAAAAATGTTGATATCAGCAGCCCAGCAGATATTTTCCTCTAGCATGGTGCCATAGCCAAACAGGACCAGACCAGATGAAGCTACTACTGTATGATAGAATGAAGCAGAATAATAAAAAGTGGTCCCCATGTCATCCAGGAGCTTAAAGGAATAGTACACCCAAAACATGATTAGCCTTCATTTTCTACTCACCCCCATGCTGAACAACACTCTGGAGTACTTTTTTGATATCTCAAATGCATCTGGAGATCTGGGAGGCTTCTTGCTGTCTGCTGACATTCAAATAATGGAGGTCTATTGTGCCCGAGACAGAAAGGTCCATAAAAGTCCACAAAAAACGTGTCAATATTCCTCCATACTGGTCGTCCAATGTATTCCAAGTGTCCTGAGTGGGTAGCATCCAGAATTTACTCGAAACAAAGTCATTTAGAATGTTTTTAGGGCATAAACAGTAGTGTATAGGATTTCCTGAAAGCGCGTTCACAACGCTACGGAAACCGCGGCAGAGCAAACCAGACGAAAGTGCGCATTCAGCTCAGCAAAGAACTCATGCTCTTCCTCAACACTGAAGTCCTCAGACATTTTTCTTTCGTTGTTTCTTTCTTTGCACAGGTAAACAGCACATTTCTTCTTCTACGCTTGCATTATTGGCAGAGCAGACGCTGAATGCCCACTTTCATCTGGTTTGGTCTGCTGGCTTCCGTAGCGTCGTGAACGCGCAGGTGCGCACTTTCAGGAAATCCTATACACTACTGTTTATGCTCTAAAAACATTCTAAATGACTTCGTTTCGAGTAAATTCTGGATGCTACCCACTCAGGACACTTGGAATACATTGGACGAGCAGTATGGAGGAATATTGACACGTTTTTTGTGGACTTTTATGGACCTTTCTGCCTCGGGCACAATAGACCTCCATTATTTGAATGTCAGCAGACAGCAAGAAGCCTCCCAGATCTCCAGATGCATTTGAGATATCAAAAAAGTACTCCAGAGTGTTGTTCAGCATGGGGGTGAGTAGAAAATGAAGGCTAATCATGTTTTGGGTGTACTATTCCTTTAAGCCTATAGCAGCATATCTATAGAGATAATTCAGGACAACTATAAGCTTTATCAGTAAGGAAGGTTTAAAAGGTAGACGGGGTGTCTGCCTCACATTCTACAACTGGTGTGTGTTTACAGAAGAGGAGTCTGTTAGATCTGGCTCCCATTCTACTCTTAGGCTTTCTAGTAAACCTGCAGATTGAGAGTGAAAAATGGCATTTCAAGGAAACAGTGGGTACGTACTAGCTAGGCACAAGGTTGCCTTTTTGGCATTTAAAATTAATCTTATATTATGAGGAATAATAATAATATATGTATTATAAAATAGTCAATCTTTATTTGTATTTGTTTGCGGCAACCATTTTATCAACATGGGAAGCTACCCTTTATGGAAACGAAAAGAACAACATTTCCTGGCTAAGTGCATTGTAACCAAACACTAAATATCAAGAATCAATAATTATACATTAATATTATAGGTCTGCTAAAGTATTATAATCTTATTATCTTTATAAAAATAGCATCATACTAATTTATGATGCTTGTCTTTTTGATACAATCGTCTTCTTTCTCTTTGTTTATCACCAAGTCCTAAACTAAGCACACTATGTGGCAAACTAATTACCTAAAGCAGACCACTCAAACGATACACACTCAGATGATGAAACTTGACGTTTAGAGTTTGTAACAAGTAATCCCAGTTTAATAATAGACATTTTCCCAGGGGTTTGGAGGATTTTTTTCTCATAAAATCAATGTTAACTTGATGAAAGAGAAGCAGAAAGAACAAGAAAGAGGTCACTGTCACTACTTCATCAAACCAACCAGAAAACCACACTCTGTAACTGCCAAGCAGCTGCAGCCATGGCGTCCTTCTTACAGGCTGTAAGACGGGTGAGCTAATAGTTGCTTGTTAATTGAACTTACAAAACCCCAAAAAGTAAAAAAATACACCTTAAATCTAAATATCAGCAATAATTAAACCAGATTTATGTGTGTTTGTGATTTAATTCAATTCAGTTTATTTATATAGCGCCAAATTCACAACACATGTCATCTCAAGGCACTTTACAGTTCAACCAGATCATACAGTCAAATTGATTCAGTTTTCTATCTAAGGAAAACCAGTTGATTGCATTGACTCATTGACTCAAATACAATCCCTCACACTAAGCATGCTTGTAGCGACAAGAAACCTCCAGCAGAACCAGGCTCAGTGTGAGCGGCCATCTGCCAAGGCTGACTGGGGTTCAAGCAGACAGAAGCAGAGGTACAAAAGGCAACTGTAAAAGGCGACCCACTCCAGGAAACACACAGCCAGGCAGACGAGCTCCGAGCCAGCTCCCATGCCAGAGGACGAAGAGAGCACATCCAGCCAGTCACGGTCAGAGAAACAGGACTACACTGGAAAACAGGCCGATCTCCAGCATCTATAAACAAGGGTGTTGATGGAAGCAGCACAGCTGATGTTTCTTTCCAGGATGGAGTCACAGCAAAACAGGAACAGACGAGGCAAAGCTACACTGAGGAAAAGCAGAGAGAGCAGAACGTTAGAGATTGAACTAACAGATTCTGCAGAATAGGAGAACAGAGAGAGAATGAAGCAGAATGATTAAATGGGGGTCCCTTTGTCCTCCAGCAGTCTAAGCCTATAGCAGCATAACTATAGAGATAGCTCAGGATAACCTGAGCCACCCTACCTATAAGCTTTATCAAAAAGGAAAGTTTTAAGCTTAAGTTTTAAGATCACCAATTTGTTCATTCTTGAATGGCATGACTGTAATTTAATTTTTAATTGTGTTTATTTGTCATTCAGACAGCTCAAGGAACCTGCCTGCTGCCATACAGTTTCTCATTAGCATGCCCTGAGTCTCAGAGAGAGTCCTTCCTTCAGAAAGCTCGAGAGGCCTTTGCAATCGGCCTTCTTACCAAAGCAAAGGGCGAGCTGGTTACCAGTCAGCAGGAACTTCACACATTCCTCAAGGCAGCGTATTCTATCACGATCACCGACAAGTGGCTTCATGCTCCTGAGGAGGTTGTGGAGAAGGCCGCTCAAGCTTGTCAGCAATCTCTAGGGATTTTCTACAAATACTGTAAGGCCAGCACTCAAGAAAAAGACGTTCTTTCGGTTGAAATCATGCATCAGATCACTCGGGTCAAGCATCTGCTGGGTGTGGAACACTTCCCTAATTCAGATAAGGGATCATTTATCCCTGACACTTACAGAAATCTTAAAGGTCCCTCTGTCAATTTTACCCAGGAGGGTTTCTCAAAGATTTTGGAGGGATTTCAGAAGTATCACGCATCACTGTATGAGACCACCAAAAGCTGCAAGCGTACTAAAGATGGAGTAGCAGCAAAGCTTTGTCTAACAGCGCTGGAAACAACAGCGGGCTCAGTCAACACAAAATGTCACACAGAATTAGCTGAGCAAAAACCCAGAGGCTCAGGTTCATCCAACGTCTCTTTGTCTCAAAATGCTAACTTGTCTCCAACCCTGGAAAGCACCGGATCATCTTGGTTCAAACTCTCCAATAATAGCTCTCATCAGACAAGCAGCAGTTTGCAGAGAAGTGGCAGTGGACAGGGAGGAAGTATGAGTGATCAGAGCAACATTCCCACAGAGAGCGATGATGGTGGTTGTTCACACTCTGATAAAAACACGAAACAAAAGCCACAGAGCCGTGGTATCAGTTCCCCTCCAGTTCTACAGTCTATAGTTCCTAAACCATTGAGTCATTCTCCACAGTCTCAAGCAGTTCATTGTGAAATAGAGACAGAAGTACTTGACACAGATGGGAAGACTGATTTTGTTGCAGAAAACAAAGGATCACTGCCTTTCCTTTCCCAACTGGTTCTGAAAACAGCCTCCAGTTCTCTTGGAGAGAGTTTTGGTTCCCAGTCATCATGGGAGAAAATCTCAACTGGCCAATATTCCCCAATGTGTGAAAAAAACAAGCCAAATCCACTCTTAAAATCAAGAAGCCAGTCTGCAGGCTCTGATGGCAGCTTCTTTATCATCGACTCTGTTGAAGCCGGTAGCTTCGCAGATCAGGGAAACACGGCCTCACATCCTGTAAATACTGGAATCCCTTCACAGAGTGTTTCAGACCAGAACGCTACCACTGAACAGAGCTCCTATGAGATGCTGAAGCTGCAGGAAAATGGAAACAAAGCCAATGAAGTGAAATGTGCAAAGAAAGCGCCTGAGAACATTCACATTTTGTGCTACAGCTGCCTGCACCACAGCACAGCACCTGTTCCTGATGACCAGTTTAAGTTATTTGAGCAGGATTACAAGGCTCTGCTGGCTGGAATCTGCCATCAGTGTCTCCTAAAACGGCTGTGCAGCAATACAGTGCTATTCAAACTGGAAAAGGTTCACACTGCCCACAGTGAGTTTGTTTTAGCGAACTTCCCTTTACTACTTCCCTTTCTATGAAACTTTAAGCCAGAAGAGTTGAATAAGTCTATTTTACCAATTAAACTATTAAACTATAACAAAAATAAGATAAAAGGCAGAAATATTTATTGCTTCTTGCTGCCCATAGTATTGTTTTAAAAGGGTGTTATGCCAATTGTCTCCACTAGACGCTCTTCATCTAAAGTTCTCCAAGGCCACAGGATTGTGGACAGCCAAAGAGACCTGCGTTTACATCGGCGATCTGATGAACAAGGAAGGAAAACAGAGAAGAGCAATAGAGATTCAGTTTTTGCACCAGGAGGAGCGTTTAAGCAGGTATGATGTGAAATAAGCATGAGGCAACATTAGGCACGTTCACATTCCTGAAACATTAGGGCTTGTTAGATGGGAGAGATAGATTAAAATAAAAAAGACAGGAGAGATAAATTCATCATTCATGAATGAAAAGTCTACAGTCAACATTTTCCCAATTTCAAAATAAAAGATGTCTGCTGTCCGGATATTTGATGATAGAAAAACAACATAGGCAGTCAGTCAGCTGCCCAAAAACTCTATGGTAATGATGTTTGGATGTCTACCTTTTTATTTTTCAAAGTTTTGTATGAGTAAGCTAGAACACAGCAAACCCTGATAATTAATAGCCATTGTTAGCTTGTCAGATTTCAGAGGTTTAAGTTTCTAAAAGCAAAAGATAAATATAGTTTAATTATGATCTACTTTATCTAATGACCTTTGGCTTAGCTCGACTTTTGAGACTTTCCTCACAAAAATGTCACCTGATACTGCTAATTTGATGTATTTTAATTCAATTGTGAGTTTTATTCATTAACTCAAAATGGCTTCTGCTTCAAGATGAGCAGTGATTTAAACTTTTACATTTAACATCAAGACGTTGGGGGATGCACAGTGGTGCAGTGGGGAGCATGAAGTCAGAAGAGGCTTTGTTTTGGTCCGCTCTATAAAGCCTTGAACTCAACGCTATTTCTGACATTTTCAATTGAAAAAGCTTCCCGGACGGGAAGCAAAACGTCTTCAACTTAAACAAAGTCCAGTGGATTCTTTTTAACTTTTTTGGAATGATTTTCTCCAAGTGTTTTAGTTTTCTATTTTTTCTTTAAAAGTTTACACAAAATACCAAGATAAAAAAATAAAAAAGCTTAAAAAGAGTAGTGTTTAGATTGTTATCTTGAATGTGTGCTTTAGGTTATAGTGTAGAAAGATATGTCGGCTTAGAAATCCACTGACAACTGCAGGACCTTATAAGGAGAAGCATTTTATACTATTTTACTTAGTCAACATAACTTAGAAAATAGTCTAAAACAATCTGAAAAATCTGGCTGAGTTATGATTAAAGTGAATTAAAGATTCAGTTTTCTTGATTTTGTCTTCAGTTATGTAGGGAAGGATTACTTGAAGCCAAGAGAAATTCAGTATCACCTGAAAGATGTGGAGCGACAGATGACTGCTCAGTACTATGTGACTGAATTCAACAAGAGTCTCTATGATAAGGATGTTTTGGCTCAGATTTTCTTTATTCCCTCTGATGCGTTGTTGGTGAGTCAATTATTTTTTAAAAGGGATACTAAAAGATCCCTCTCTTTGTATTTTCTAACCTTGTAAAATATTGTTATAGAAGATTAAAGATCGTCACATATGCCCTCAAAAAAAGAGGTTATATACGTCAATCATCTGTCCACATGTAAAAGAAAGTGTCCCTATCTCTTTTTTTCCTAATTCTTAATACAAATCTCTAGTTCCTGTGGAGTGACACTTCCCTGTTGTCATGGTGACTCGACGAATTAGAGCTCCACTGATAATGGCTTTTCATTGTTGTTACAGGTGTGCTTGAATTTGAGTGAACCTACTAAGAGTTGATTAAACTAACTGACAGCAGCCTTTGTGAAATTGAAAACTCAGAGTTTCCAGCCTTAGGCTAGATCAATCCAGAGTTGAGGATTCAATTCAATTCAGTTTATTTATATAGCACCAATTCACAACACATTTAATCTCAAGGCACTTTACAGTTTACCAGATCATACAGTCAAATTGATTCAAAGTTTTCTATCTAAGGAAAACCAGTTGATTGCATCAGATCATTGACTCGAATGCAATCCCTCACACTTTGTCTTTTTTGTGATTAGATTCTTAACAGAAATGAGATTGTCGGTTGCATAACAGTGGAGCCATACATGCTTGGTGATTTCATTAAACTCACCAACAACACTGGGAAGAAAAAATTAGATGCTGAGGCTACAAAATACGGCCTCGCTTTCGGACACTTCACCTACCTGTTCTCTGGTGGCCAGGAGGTTGTTGTAGACTTGCAAGGTATCGGTACACGATTCTGTCTGACTGTTTGCAGCCTTCTGAAATATTTTTTACCACCTGTAAAGAAAAATATCTGGTGCTCTTTCCTTTTCCACAGGATGGACAACTTCCAACGGGAAAGGTCTGACTTACCTCACAGACCCACAGATTCACTCCACCAGAAGCCCTCAAGGGCCTTCAAACTTTGCTGAACGAGGACTTGGGTTTTTCCTGAAAGAGCAACATGGACCAACATGCAACGAGGTCTGCAACCTGCTCAAACTCCCTCCACTCATCAAACCGCACGTTTAAAGGAAAAGTCCAGTCAGCAAGGATTAATCAATGGATAATTACCTGTACCTAAAACTAATACGTTTGTGGTGATTTAATGATTTTAGCATTAATCAGTAAAGAAATAAAAACAATAATTTTCGTTGAGATCACTGAGTCTAGGAGCGGCCATTTTTCCCCAAATATAGTAACACCTCACTCCTGAATGGTAAATGGTAAATGGCATGTACTTATATAGCGCCTTTATTCAAGTTAGGAGACTTGACCAAAGCGCTTTACACTACATTCATTCACCCATTCACACACACACTCACACACTGATGGTGGCAAGCTACATTGTAGCCACAGCTGCCCTGGGGCTCACTGACAGAAGCGAGGCTGCCGTACACTGGCGCCACCGGGCCCTCTGACCACCATCAGTAGACAATGCAGGTGAAGTGTCTTGCCCAAGGACACAACGACAATGAAAGTCGGAGTCGGGGCTTGAACCGTCAACCCTTCGATTTCAGGGCAAACTCATCCAGCAGTGATGTCACGGTGCAGTAAGCCCATTGTTGTTGTCAGACCCTTTTCACAGGGGCACGTGCCCCGTTGTGGATCTGCGGTGCCTGGCTATGCCTGGGGCACTGATTTTTTTAATTAATTAATTTTCCACTTTCACAGCTCCGCTCCCTCAGCTCCTGTCTCACAGCTCCACCACAGCTCTGGTGCGCCCCAAGCTGACAGGAAGTGTATTTGCTCACCACCTCTCGCCACAGCGCAGACGTTTTGCGGGTGATTGACAGGTGGAGTTGCGGGGGCTTGAGAAAATGTGCCTTCATCAGTAGTGGATTAGAGATATACAGTTAAGTTCACAAGTGGGCCAATTAAATTCTGTTTGTTTCAGGTAGATATCTAATGATGCAGCAAATAACAATCTGATTGTACAATTTGTTTTTAATGCTTTATAATAATAAGTGCTATAAAACATTTGCTTGAATGCTTGCATCAATTATCTGTGCCCATGCTTTTTTAATATAAATAATTGCCCATGAATCTTTTTTGCTTGCGCACTCGCATTTTATTTTGGTATTGGGTCAGCTGACGCCCCTGGGTAAGCCTTAGACCAGGGGTCTTCAATGTTTTCCAGGCCAAGGACCCCAAAACTGATGGCTAGATGGAGCGGGGACCCCCTAATTATATATATATGGTATGAAATAATGTTCTATCATGGGATTATTAAAGTATTTCTGATTCTGATTCCTGGTTGATGGGACAGGTGTTGAAAATGAAACGGTGCCCAGCTTGAAAGAGATCCTGTGTGTCGCTGAATGTGTGCATCAGAGATGGGAAGTAACGAAGTACAAATACTTCGTTACTGTACTCAAGTAGATTTTTCTGATATTTTTACTTTACTTTACTACTTATTTTTATGGCGACTTTTTACTTCTACTCCTTACATTTTTACACAAATATCTGTACTTTCTACTCCTTACATTTTACAAAATTGGCTCGTTACTTTAGTTTTGAATCATTTCAATGGAGTTACCGTTATTATTTTTCACGTCATCAATACCAAATTCGATCTAATTGGATAGGAATCTGCGTTGCATTTGACGCACCACTACAAGATGAATCGACAGATTCTGCGGTATTCATTGGCGGCAAATCATTGCAGCTTGGTGGCGGTGGCGTTAGCATAGTAGCATGGACGACGAGATGATTGAAAATGAACACAACGGAGATCTAGTCCTATTGGCAGACATCCATTTAAAATGTAGGCAACGGCATGAAAAAAGTGGTTTCTACTTTTACTTTTATTCTTTAAGTAAATTTACAAGCCTGTACTTTGTTACTTTTCTTTGAGTAAAGAAGTTTAATCAGTACTTCCACTTTTACCGGAGTATTTTTTAACACAAGTATCTGTACTTTTACTCAAGTACGGAAAGTGAGTACTTTTGCCATCTCTGGTGTGCATTGATGACTGGAAGACATCTTCTGCCTCCATTTATATGTTTACTACAGTCTGTTGAATTCATGTTAATGTGGATTTAAAGACATTTCAATTAGTGGAAAAAATTGCAGGGGGGAATATAAAAAAAAGTCTAATCAACCAAAACTTTCGCGACCCACATGCAGTACCTCCGCGGACCCCCTGTTGAAGACCTCTGCCTTAGACTATTCTCCCTGCTTGATTTCCTCTTGGAAATTCACCAGAGCTATAGTTAAATTGACAATGCAGTTGGATGTTGTAATGCATCGGCTAAAAGTGAATTTCACTTTTCTGTCAAGTGAATTTCACCTTTCCAAAGCATGATCCACCAAGGGTTCATAGTTGGATTGTCAATTTGAAGAGGGAGGATTTGCCATTGAACTTCTGCCCAGAGAAAAAAAAAAACACGTAATATGTAGCCGACATTTTGAAGAAGAATGTTTTCAAGATGACTTTGGACAAACACCAGATACAGCACTGGGACTTGATCAACAGCCGATACCGCACTGTGACGTCACAAACCGGTAGGTGGCAGTAGTGTTCCTTGACAAACATGGATGCCTCCAGTAAAGCACATTCAAATGAAAATTACTCTTAATTCAAAACACTTATCATTTATTGAACAGTATGGAATAATTTCATATTTAAAATACTTTCAGAAGTTTGAATTCTGAATAAGAGCTGTAGAGTGTGTGTGCCGAATCCTCAGTGTAATCCTTTTTAATTCCTGAATTTTTGGGACAACAGTCACTACCTTCTATCTTTCTATTGACAGAATATACTTTCCTAAATATGTTTCTTCATTGCGTGTTTTATTAATGCGACATATTCAGTTATTAGAAACTATTTCAGTATTTCAAAAGAAATTATTTGCAATGTATTAAAATATAGGTTGCGTTAAAGACATCCCTCATCTCTAAAAAAAAAAATAATAATAAAAGAAAATGGCAGTAACTTAGGTTTTCCAGTTTGTATCTGACTGACCCATAAGAACTTTAGAATGCTATCTATTTTTAATTTATTTTATTTATTAGAAGCATCATCACAGGTAATAAAACAATGTATAATAACAGAGAACTCCAAGTTAAACATGATTTGTATTTTCTACTTTCCTAACTCAGTAAAGAACCAGTATTAGCACCTGATCTTTATAGTGTTTGCATATCTTAAAAAGGTGCAAAGGTCTTTATACACACATAGCCGATCTTTAAACAAGGTGCAAGGGGATTTTTGTTCGCAATTCAGCAGATGCATAAAAACCTTTTTTTGTATTAGTGCCTTTATTATTTTTGATTGCCCCAATCAAAAAAGAAATTACAGAATTTAAATATTGTGGTATGTTTATGTATAAAAAAAGCGGTGGGAGATAAAAGTTTTCACCTCTTACTCCTCGTATCAGTTTTCTCTCTCAAGGCATAAAGCATAGTTATGTTTTGTACATTAGCACCTGTGTTCTCATGTCTTATGACATTTCATTTTTTACATTTAACTTTAGTTATTTTCATATTTTTTTTTTTTTACTCTAGTTTGCAGAACTTAGAGATAGGACGCCAATGTAAAGTGCTCTATAAAGATCTCTTGCTATTTATTTAATTCAGTGGGCGGAACCAGACTGGTTTGCACATATTAACATTGGCACACCGACTTATTGGATGTACTAAAATAATTTGGACATGCACGTCCATAATGTCAAAATGAACAGTGAACAAAATTAAATAATATAATATGCAATATATATATATATATATATATATATATATATTTATATGATAATATATATATATATATATATATATATATATATATATATATATGATAATTCAATAATAATAATAGATAAAAGGGGTTTTGGGCTAATCATCAGTAGAACTTTTGAACTGATTGACAACATTGCAAAACGTGGGTTTGGAAAACAAGCAACTACTATTGTGTAACAGCGCAAATACCTCATAGTAATGTGGTGAAGGAGGAGCCAACTGAGTCTCGTTTTGCACTCACATGATCTTTGAATTTTGCAGTCAACGTGTTGTTTAACAACAGATTTCCGTAATAAAATATTCAGGGTTCAAATGTGAAGCCATCGGTTCGACAGCTGAAATTTGACTGAAAATGAATAAAGGTATCGACCCAATCAGTCAGAACTGTAACAACACTGGTACTGAAACACTGCTGTAAAGATGAGTAAAAGAAAGTTCCTTTATATAGTAACATAACACAGCTTTGTTCATTTTGCCTCCATCTTTGTTTCAATAAATGATTTACTCTATTTTGTTTGTTTTTTCTATTTCTTTTCAATTCAGTTTATTTCTATAGCGCCAATTCACAACACATGTCATCTCAAGGCACTTTACAGTTCAACCAGATCATCCAGTCAAATTGATTCAAAGTTTTCTATCAAAGGAAAACCAGTTGATTGCATTGACTCATTGACTCAAATACAATCCTTCACACTAAGCATGCTTGTAGTGACAGTGGAGAGGAAAAACTCCCTTTTAACAGTTAGAAACCTCCAGCAGAACCAGGCGTTTTGTTCACTTTCGTTTAGTAAAAGCATTTTTAGAACTTGCAATCAAAAGTATGTCAAATGTTTCGAGCTTGTTTCGACTTTTGGCCAGTTGTGTCAAATTGGTTTATTGGTTCATCCGTCTTCGAAATTGCCATTACTACCATTTACTCATCACGCTAGCACGGTTCCTTGCCTCCTATCGGCGGTCCATGATACTATAGTTCTCAAGGTGGGAATTACAGAACACAAAATGTATGCGCCTGGATAGCGTCCTTTGCCCAAATTTCAATGAGAGCCTCGATCTCTGCATCATCCCAGGTCACAACACATTATTTTTATGTCATTTATTGTTAATAGGCTGAGAAAAAGTTTGTGTTGTGAACAGGTGAAGAGATCTGTGAATTACATAAGCAGGACATGATGGAGAACCCTCGAAATGAATCAGCTGACTGTAAATAGGACATAACGCGGCCTGCTCATGAGCTCTTTGTTATCAGAGAACCGAGGCACAACTGAACGGCGCCGAACCCTGCTGTTGCACTAGTACCATGTTGGCGCGGTTCGGTTGTTTCCGGGAAGAAAAAGTTCAGTTGCATTCCATTTATACTCAGCAGTTATCTAAGTTACTATGCTCGGACCGTTCTCGGCAAAGTTTCAA